AGTATTGTACCTAAACTCGTCAAAATACCGAATATAGGGAGGTACTGGTATATGAGGCCTATACGAAGACCTGGACCTGCATAGACAATTTTCTGTCACAGACTGGAGTTTCCATTACGAACTCTAAATGCGTAATTTGAAAAAATCACCAAAATACCGAATATAGGGAGGTACCGTTATATGGGGGCTATACGAAGACGTGGACCTGTACAGACAATTTTCTGTCTTAGGCTGTAGTATCTATTTCGAACTTCAAATACTAAATTTGAAACTATTCCGGTGAATAATGTCGCTAAAATCATCGAAATACCGAATATCGGGAGGTACCGTTATATGGGGCTATACGAAGACATGGACCTGCACAGACAATTTTCTGTCTTATGCTGTATTATCCATTTTGAACTTCAAATACCAAATTTGAAACAATTCCGGTGAATAATGTCGCTAAAATCATCAACATACCGAATATCGGGAGGTACCGTTATATGGGGGCTATATGAAAACGTGGACCTACATGGCCCATTTACGAACTTAACCTGCCTACTGTAAAAATAAACCTGTGTGCAAAATTTTAGCCTAGTATCTCAATTCGTTCGAAATATAGCGTGATTACAACAGACAGACGGACAGACAGACATCGCTAAGTCGACTTAGAATTTTACGCTGATCAAGAATATATATACTTTGTTGTGTCTGACATGAGTATTTCGAGGAGTTACAAACGGAATGACAAAGTTAATATACCCTCCATAGTATGGTGGAGGGTATAAAAATTGTGACTGCTATCAGTGAAATGCCGAATATAAGTGGTGCAAAATAGTAGAGCGAATTGGACATTTAGTATGAACTGGATTTCTTCCTAAACATTTAAGATACCTTAAATCGCTCTTGCAGGTCATGACATGGGTCATAACCCCCGGACGAGGGTACAATCCGATTTCAAATATAATTTACGTTTTAAGCATATTTTTATACCCTCCACCATACTATGGAGGTTATATTAACTTTGTCATTCCGTTTGTAACTCCTCGAAATACTCATATCAGACCCAACAAAGTATATATATTCTTGATCAGCGTAAAATTCTAAGTCGATTTAGCGATGTCCGTCTGTCTGTCTGTCTGTCCGTCTGTCTGTCCGTCTGTCTGTTGTAATCACGCTATATTTCGAATGAATTGAGATAGGTGGCTAAAATTTTGCACACATGTTTATTTTTCCAGTAGGCAGGTTAAGTTCGTAAATGGGCCATGTAGGTCCACGTTTTCATATAGCCCCCATATAACGGTACCTCCCTATATTCGGTATTTTGATGATTTTAGCGACATTATTCACGGGAATTGTTTCAAATTTGGTATTTGAAGTTCAAAATGGATACTACACCCTAAGACGGAAAATTATCCGTGCAGGTCCACGTCTTCCTATGGCCCCCATATAACGGTACCTCCCGATATTCGGTATTATGATGATTTTAGCGACATTATTCACGGGAATTGTTTCAAATTTGGTATTTGAAGTTCAAAATGGATACTACACCCTAAGACAGAAAATTGTCTGTGCAGGTCCACGTCTTCATATAGCCCCCATATAACGGTACCTCCCTATATTCGGTATTTTGATGATTTTAGCGACATTATTCACCGGAATTGTTTTAAAATTGGTATTTGATGTTCGTTATGGGAACTACAGTCTGTGACAGAAAATTGTCTGTGCGGGTCCAGGTCTTCGGATAGCCCCCATATAACGGTACCTCCCTATATTCGGTATTTTGATGATTTTAGCTACATTATTCACCGTTTATTTCAAGTTTCGAATTTGAATATGGTAATGGCTTATGACAAACAATGCCTATGTATGTCCACGTCGTATAGACCCCATAATAACGGCTATATTCGGTATTTTTAAAATTTTAACAGAATTTTTTAAGGATTTTATTTTTTGAAAATTTCCAAATTCGTTGCAAATGGTGGAGGGTATTAAAAGTTCGGCCCGGCCGAACTTACTGCTTTTTAACTTGTTCATACTAATTTCGGTAAATATTGGTAATATAACCATCATATGGTTTAAGCTATTTTCGGGGTCTTGGCCACTTTATTCATTTTTTTGTTGCCCTTATTTGGCATTTTTATACCCTCCACCTTGAAAAGAAGGGTATATTAACTTTGTAACTTAACTTTTCTGTTTGTAACATCCTTAAATATTCGTCGTAGACCCCATAAAGTATATATATTCATAATCAGCATAAAATTCTAAGTCGATTTAACGATGTCCGTCTTTCTGTCCGTCTGTCTGTTGAAATCACGATACAGCCCACATTATCTGACGTAGAGCGTCAGATAAAACATTGCATGCATAGGTCCACGTTTTGCTATAGCCCCCATATAAAGGTACCTCCCAATATTTGGTATTTTATTTTTTTGCCACATTTTCTCACGGATTTGTCTAAAAATTGGTATTTGTTGGTCATTATGGGTTCCAGCTCCGGTGGTGAAACATTGCATGTATGGGTCCATGATTTGGTATAGCCCCCATATAACGGTACCTCCCGATATTCGGTATTTTGATGAGTTTTGCCACATTTTTTCACTGATTTGTCTAAAAATTGGTATTTGTGGGTTATAATGGGTGCTAGTTCGTGTCGCGAAACATTGTATGTATAGGTCCACGTTTTGATATAGTCCCCATATAAGGGTACCTCCCAATATTCGGTATTTTTATGATTTTTGACACATTTTTTCAAGAATTTCTTTGAAAATTTTTATTTGTAGATCATAATGAGTCCCAGTTCGTGTGGCGAGTCATTGTAATTATAGGTCCACGTTTTGGTATAGGCCCCATATAACGGTACCACCCGATATTCGGCATTTTAATGGTTTTTGCCACATTTCTTCTAATGTTTCCTTTACCCTAAGGTGGAGAGTATTAAAAGTTTGGCCCGGCCGAACCTAATGTTTTTTTTTTACTTGTTCTTTCTAAGGTGGTAGAAAACCTAATCGCATAAAATTTTCAATTTTCGAAGTAGTGCCCATCTTAGTCTTGACCACATTCATCAATTGATTTGCCTTAATAATAGTATTTAAGATATTCTGGGGTAGAGAAACAACTTTTAGATAATTGTCCACGTAGGCATTTATTTAATTAAAGTCACCACATTAGTGTACGCCAACCAATGTGTGGTTAGAAAAGAAAATTGTGTATTCTATTGAATTTGTAGCACCCAAGAGAACATTGATTGGAAACGTAGATTTGGGATGTACGTCTATATGAAATAAACTCCGAAATGTCAAACTGGGACTCATTACACACTGGACCGAACATATGTTTAATCGCCATTGCATTAGAATTGGAATTTATGGGCTCTCCAAAGCAAAATTTAAATTACAAAAAAAAATAATTCTATTCTTACGGTTATGGGTGTAAAAGACAATTAAAAGGTGGACGAAACTAAATACCACGCATTGCAAATTACAACTCATTTGAATGGAATGAAATACCAAAAATTCAGCTGAGTTTTTATATGGATCTATTATAGATGCTCTATATAATATAGGTTTTTATCTCTCAAATTTAAGCCTATAGCTGAAAAATAAGATTAGACTATTCAAAGCATCTAGAACCGACGGTAGTTGAACATCTATCCTAGTTTTTGCCATGAATATTTATTTTTAGAAATTACTATGGAGTCATTACATATAAGAAAGAATTGTGCAGCTTACATGCATTAAAAACTAAAAGTACGAGTAAAATATATATATATATATATATATATATATATATATATATATATATATATATATATATATATATATATATATATATATATATTCAGCATCAAATTTTAAGTCGATTTAACGATGTCCGTCTGTCTAAAAGTACGAGTAAAATATATATATATATATATATATATATATTCAGCATCAAATTTTAAGTCGATTTAACGATGTCCGTCTGTCTAAAAGTACGAGTAAAATATATATATATATATATTCAGCATAAAATTTTAAGTCGATTTAACGATGTCCGTCTGTCAGTCTGTCCGTGTGTCTGTCTGTTGAAATCACGATACAGCCTACATTATTTGACGTAGCATAACAATTTGTATTGTGTCTAGGATGGTTGGTATTGAAAATGAGATATATCGGTCCACTTTTTGGTATAGTCCCAATATAACGGTACCTCCATATATTCGGTATTTTGACGATTTTTGCCCCATTTTTTCGCGGATTTGTCTGAAAATTGGTATTTGTAGGTCATAATGGGTCCTAGTTCGTGTGGTGAAATATTGTATGTATGGGTCCACGATTTTTGGTATTTTGATGATTTTTGCCACTTTTTTCAGATTTTTCTAGCTCCGGCGGGGAAACATTGCATGCATAGGTCCACGTTTTGGTATAGCTCCCATATAACGGTACCTCCCAATATTCCGTATTTTAATGGTTTTTGTCACATTTTTTCACGGATTTGTCTAAAAATTGGTATTTGTCTGACGTTATGGGATCTATCACCGTTGGCGAAACATTGTATGTATAGTTTCAAGTTTTTGTATAACCCCGTTTATAATTTTTGCCACATTTTCCCACGAATGTGTATAAAAATTGGTATTTGTGGGTTCTAATGTTTCCTTTGCCCTAAGGTGGAGGGTATTAAAAGTTCGGCCCGGCCGAACTTAATGTTTTTTACTTGTTTTAATTTATATAAATAGAATAAAATCATATGATGATAGAACCATGTGCCCTTTGGAATATAACGGATTAGGTCGATACCATTTTTTGTATTGAATATTGGATGTTTAAATTTGACTTAAACTGAAGAATTGTTTACATAGGCCTAAATTGTGGCGCCGACACCGTATAATGGTGTTTATGAATTTCACTGGTAAAAGTGGAATCTCATCCAATACCTTTTATCTTTAAAGATTTTCTTAACCTCATGATGGAAGATATCAAAAGATCGGCCCGGCCGAACTTAACTCTTATTTGTTTGTATTTAGAGAAAAACAATGATTGTGTTTACTAGTCGTTATTATTGCTGGAATGTTTTTGGTACATACATATGTATAAGTATGTATGTACTCTCACCCCTATTAAAACTCAAAAAAAGCTTACCAAACACTTTCAAAATTAAATAATTACTAACGGTAGTTACTAAAAAATTGCTCAGAAATACATAATGATTATTTAAATTAACTTAATCCGGCCAAATTTAGTTTCGCCATCATCACTCATACAGCTAATACAGGTTAAAACAAATATTGCACAAATATTTCAGCACCGTATTCCATAGGTTTGTCTATTTCACCGATTTTATCTTTGCTTTTAATATGATATAGGCAGCGATTCTAAAGATCAAAATGATGACACCAAGGGCAATAATATCATTCCAAAATTGATCACCACGCATGGTTATTTCATCCAAAAATTTTCTTGGATACCTGGTTGGGGATATTTTATAGAAGTGGATTAATGAATGTGGAACGAATTACATAATTTATTTGCTTGCTAACCTATAATGACAGTATGGGGCTTCTTCACATTCCAAGGTACCACGATCATTACCATATATAGCACTCACGAAACCCTCCAGACCGTATCGCAAATATGAAATGTGACTTCCCCATTTCAAGTATGAGGGCAAATCGCGCAATGTTACACCGAAGCCAGCGAACATCATCATGGGAATGGTCAAAACTGGAGCCAAAAAAGTGCCATTCACAACATCAAACCACGCTCCGATCATTAAACCGAAACTTTGGCCCACAAACACAGTTAAAACACTAATGGCAAAGAACATCCAGAATCGACTCCACTCCATTGGTTGGTAACTCCACAAATATATGATAATAGTGAACAAAAGACTGCCAACGATCTGAAAGATGATTATGCATTAATATTCAACATTTGAAATGAGACCTAGGGAAGTGACGAAAGAATCGTACCGATATAGGAAGATCAAGCAGTGTGATGGATGTGTAATACGCCTTCAGTGAATACCATCGGTTAAAATGTTCCTTTAGTAAAATGGACATCTCAATGGGGACTGGAATTTATAAAAGATACACAATTTCTCAACATCTTAAATTTTTCTTTAAATGCATTATAGATATTTTGTAATCCCAAGATATTTTGTCGATAGGCCTGATACTTACACGTAAGAACTGTTAACATCATCGTTGTCATGGAATGATGAATCAAAATGGCAAAAAGTAAATTATAGTTGTCTATCACGCGAGAGCCCTCTTTACCCGAATTGGCGTAAACTGCCCCTAATATTATGGCTACAAACACATTGACACCAATCCGAAGATGTGTCAGGGTGGTATCACGCTTTGCTTTGATATAGCCTCGGTGCATTAGTACCGACAACTGATTCATATAACTCGTATCTTCAAGGGAACGTTTATTCGTTTTCTTTGCCACAGGATATTTCCTCATCAAATCAGTGGCTTTTAAAATCTTTTCAGGATGATCGAACCATGTTAGACAGTTGCCATTTTCTGAAGCCGATTTCAAAGTGTCAACCTTATCTTGACCATATTCTCCACAGGCTAATTCAATAACTGTTGAAACAAAAATAGATTTTTAATCAAAGACATTTTGGAAAATAATGTGCTTACTTACTGTAATCGGCAGGATTGTGATACATTGGACATGGCAAATCAACGGCCTGCAAAAAGGGAACTAATTTTTCTGTACTTCCCTGGTAAACACAGTTACCAGCCGCTAGAACATAGACTTGGTCAAATATTTGGAACAGTTTTGCAGTTGGTTGATGAATAGTGCAAATTATAGTACGTCCCTGTTGGGCAAGCATTTTACATAGCTCCAAAACTTTGGTACACGAGCTGCTGTCAAGGCCACTGCAAATCAAAAAAAAAAAAAAAAAACAAAATGAGAACTTTAGTTTATGGGTGTATTTCCCATCGGCGCGTCGTGAGAAAATAATGTATGAATCATCTTTAGCTATACACAACCCGACTTTTTCCTTAAAACCCTAAGTTTTGAATGCGCACTATTAGATTGTTTATTTCAAATTACACACGACATTTTTGAACTTCAAGAGCGTTCATAACAGAACTACTATTTGGGAGAATGTAACATATTTCTTGTTTACAAGTACGGGAACACAACCAATAAGTTTAGTTGCTACATTTTAATGTGTGTCGTTCATTTACAGGTGGATGCATCAACGCTTGGGAACATTTATATATCAAAATTTTTAAACTGTTTTGTCAAAAATATGTAAATTTTTATATGTTTCTTATACGACGCTAATCGGAGGTTGTTATAATATGTATTTTTAAACGATTTTTAAAAATTTAAATAATTTTTCATTCAAAATTTTCAATCCCAAAATTGGTTTGACAATTCACTGTCCCAGCAGTTGTGTCGATGCGACTACCTGTATTCTTCTACCATGATTTTAATAGGAAAAGCAACCACTCTCAAGGGATTGACTGAATAATTTAAGGAACACTGATTCAATGTGATGAGATGTTTTCATTGGTTCGAGAAATATTCAATCTTCTCTTATATACTTGAAATAGAAGATTTTTCGTAAAAAATAACGGAGTTCAGGATACAAAAATCAAAACTTGGGTACTATGAATAAAAAGCAGCTAATTTCGGCCAGGCCAAACCCTCAATACCCTTCACCATTTTAAAGGACCTACAATGACAATTTTCCGTCATAGCTTGCAGTACCCATTACGAGATTCAAATACGAAATTTGAAGCAATTCCGGTAAATAATGTTCCTAAAGCCATCAATGTACCGAACATCCGGAGGTATCGTTATATGGGTGCTATGCGAAAACGTGGACCTGCATGTGCATTTTTTCGTCATAGTAGTGTATGTAGTACCCATTACGAGCTTCAAATGCGAGATTTGAAACAATACCAAATATCGGTGGATACCGTTGCATAGGCATTTTACGATATCTTGGACCTATATAGACAATACTCTTCCAGGCGGGTAAAGTACTCACAAATAGCTCCTTGTGTAGAATTTCCCACAATTCCATTGAAAAATGTGGCTAAAACATCAAAAAAACCGAATATCGGGGGTACAGAGTAAACATATATATTGAGGGCCCAAGGATCAATACACGATATTGGTTATTGGTTAAACGCCACAACATACAATAACAAAAATACTCACGTAGTAGGCTCGTCCAAAAACATCACAGTTGGGTTATTTATAAGTTCCATTGCAATAGAGAGTCGCTTCTTTTGACCACCAGATAGACGTTTGGTCATAGTTTGGTCATGATCGTATAAACCAAGCATCAACAAAATATCTTCAATCTATAACATACAAATGACAAAATACAAATTAGGAGGGAGAAATTGGACGGAATTCCAAAATATCAAAAGTTGCATATTTTCCACACATACCTTGGCTTCCTTTTCCTCATACGATACATTTGGACCAAGTTTAAGGTCCGCAGCTATGTGCATATTTTCGTTTACAGTCAATAACGGTTGTAGACGATCATCCTGTGTTATGTAGCAGGACATCCTTCTAAAAGCGGCTATAAAGTTCACCCTTATTAAAATCTTCAAACCAATAGATGTTCTAATATTACTACTTACTCAAATCTCGACGTCTGCCATTAAGCAAAATCGAACCGTCGACACCAGTTGTCTTGAATCCTGACAAGGCATCGAGCAATGTGGATTTACCAGCACCTGAAGGTCCCATAATAGCAATTAATTGACTTCCAGGAAATTTCCCGCTTACATTATGTAAAATTTCTTTATTTCCTGTAATTCAAAAAAGGAAATTTAAAAGCACACGCAATAATAAAAAAATCGTTACAAAACAAAGAGCTGCGGAGTCGAACCACTTTTGATAAGATCCAGACTCTGGAGACGAATTCATTTTGACTCCGAAAACAAAATCCTGTATATTCTCTGAAAAACTATTATCCAATATTGAGATGCAAATTTCTATCAAAATGACAAATTAAATTTTTTCGCTGAACAAGAATCCAGATCTAGTTGTTGATTAATGCTTAAAACGTTGAAATGATATTGAAATTATTAATAATTTGTTTTGAAAATGCATATAAACTTTTAAATTACTTAAAACTGGTTAAAACATAGTGGATCTATTCTGACAATTTCATCATTTTAGGTATACTTAACTAGAATTATATTGATGATTTTTCGTGATTTTCCACTTTATGTTTTGACAAGCCGAACCCAGCGCGCTTCGCTACTCCTTTTGCTTTTATATGTATTCAAAATTTTATATACGAATTCAAATAGAATTAAAAAAGTATTTATTGTAATGTAAAACCAGTAAAGAAAGTCCTAAAGTCGGGCGGGGCCGATTTTATGATACCCTACACCACTTTGCTAATTTAGTTGAGCTCCACTTAATAATTAAAAGTTTTTATGGAAGAATTTAATCATACACCCTATGATTATAATTATAATTTAAAATTCAAAGGACTAAATATGCCGAAGCATTTGTATCTTTTAAATTCGGACTTGTATTGCCCATTTGGTGCGAAATTAATTTGAAATCGGATAAAAATATATATGGGAACTATATCCAAATCTGAACCGATCTCGATAAAATTTGGCAAAGATATTTCTGAGCTGTATTTGATATATTTCCCTGAATATCGTTGTTACGGAGTGCATATTACGGCTGTGGGTAACAAATATAACAAATCGAATGAAGAGTATATATAGGAGCTATAGCTATATCTGAACCGATCTTCACCAAATTTGACATACTACCTTCTAGACACAATTCGGTCGTATGTGCCAAATTCCATCCCATTTGTGCAAATATTAAACGTTTGGTGCACAATAAATGGTAAATCGGACGAAGTTATATATGGGAGCTATATCCAAATCTGAACCGATCTCGATAAAATTTAGCAAAGGTATTTCTGAGCTGCATTTGATATATTGCCCCAAATATTGTTGTTACAGAGTGCATATTACGGCTGCGGAGGACAAAAATAACAAATCGGATGAACAATATATTCGATAAAATTTGGCATACTTATTTTCAGGCCTAATTTGGTTGTATGTGCAAAATTCCATACTATTCGGGCTGATATTACACGTTTGGTGCACAATAAAAGGCAAATCGGACGAAGATATATATGGGAGCTATATCTAATTTTTTACCGATTATCTCCAATTTCAATAGGGTTCGTCCTTGGGCCAAACAAATGTTGTTTGCAAAATTTCATCTCAATCGGATAATAAATGCGACCTGCATTTTGTTCACAAGAATACATGGACAGACGGACGGACAGACGGACTGACATGCATAATTCAACTCAGAAAGTGATTCTATGCAGATCATCAAAAGGAACTATGGGTCTATCTCGTTTCCTTTTGCCTGTTACAAACAAATGCACAAAGACATAATACCCTGACCACCTTGTGGTGTAGGGTATAAAAAGCTAAATTGAGTCTATTTAGTGCATCAAATCCAAATCTAATCTGCTTTCAATATAATTTGGCAAAACTATTTTTGTACTAAATTTCATCTCTCATGCGGACTTTCATTGGAACCGGACATACGTATCGCGTTTGGTCCATCAAACACACGGAATCGGGTGAAAATATATATGGGAGCTATATCCGAACCTGATTTATGCATAATTTGGTAAATTGATTCTTGTACTAAATTCTGTTACACATTCCGAATTTCATTGAAATTAGAGATACATAGTGTATTTGTTGCATCATATAAACGAAATCGGTCTAAAATATATATAATTTATTTTTGTTCCAAATTCCGTTACGCATTCCATATTTGAAGAGTGTATTTGTAAACGATCAATAGATATGTACATATAAAATCTAAATATTTGGGAGGTACTGATTCTGATGTTTCAAGCGAAATATCAACAATTTACACGGCCTATGTTACTTTCAGGATATGTTATAGTATACTTGAAAATTTTCAGGAAAATCTGTGCAGCGGTTTTCGAGTCCATAACTTACATACAAACATACAAACATTTTTCTCTTTTATAGATATAGACGCCTCACATCACATAGTTTGTAACAGGGAAAAGGAAACGAGAGAGACCCATTGTTACTTTTGAGGATCTTCATAGAATCACTTTCTGAGTCGATTTATGCATGCCAGTCCGTCTGTACATGTATCCTTGTGAACAAAATGCAGGTCGCATTTATTATCCGATTGAGATGAAATTTTCCAAACAATATTTGTTTGGCCCAAGGACAAACCCTATTGAAATTGGTGATAATCGGATTAGATTTAGATATAGGTCCCCTATATCTTCAACCGATTTCGGGTTAACTGTGCATCAAATGGCCAAAATATGTCAAACTGACCTGAATTTTTAGCACATACAACCGAATTCATTTTAGAAGAAATAGCCCCATATACGTTGCATCCCATATCAGGTTAATTGTGCACCAAATGGCTAATATCAGCCCAAATGGAGTAAATTTTGGCAATTGCGACTAAATTAATACTAGAAACCCGTATTTCAAAGTTGGTGTAAATTGGTTTAGATATAGCCATAGCTCCCACATATGTTTTATACGATTTGGGGTTTAAGGTCCCTCACATGTTTAACATGCACTCCACAAAAATGATATTGGGAACCGGACATCAGATACTGCTCGAAAATGCCTCTGTCAAATTTTATAGAGATTGGTTCAGATTAGGATATAACACCCATATATATATCTTTAACCGATTTCGGGTTAATTGTGCTCCAAATTGCCAATATAAGTCCAAATGACCTGGCTCATCCGACCGAATTCAGTCTAGAAGCAAGTACATCGGATTCGGCAAAAATCGGTTCAGATATAGCTAAAGCTATTCGTAATATGCACCCCACAAAAAAAGATGTTTGGTATCAGATGCAGTCCAGAAATCCCTCTATTAAATTGTATAAAGATTGGTTCAGATTTAGATATTGCTTCCATATATCTTCAACCGATTTCGGGTAAATGTGCACCAAATGGCCAATATAAGTCCAAATGATCTGATTTTTGGCACATCCAACCTTATTCAGTTTAGAAGCAAATAAATCAAAGAAATTCGGATCAGATATAGCTATAGCCCCCATATATATCTTTATCCGATATCAGGTTTATTGTGCACTAAATGGCTAAATTAATCCAATAAACCCGTACTTCAAATTCAGATATAGCCATAGCTCCCATATATACTTTTTATCCGATTTGGGGTTTAATGTCTCCCACATTCGTAATAGGCATTCGACAACAATGATATTTGGTACCAGATATCTTATAGAACTCGGAAATACCATTGACAAATAGCTCCCATATATATCCTTAATTCGATTTCAGGTTTACTGTGCAAATAACGGCTAATATCAGCCTAAATGGAATGCATTTCGAGACGTACGTTTCCATTTTGTGGAACTCGGCTCCGATTTATATATTTTTTTCTTCTCGAAGTGATATCATGCACTCAATAGCAATGTTATTTGGTATAAAAGATTTGAATGTCTCCGTCAAATTTAGTGAAAATCGATTCAGATTTGGATATGCCTCCCATATATCAGTTCCCTCTGAAACAAATACCGCAGAGCAACATTAGGGCAACGTGTGACAATTTCATTGGCCGTTTAAAGGCCATAATTCGTGCCAAAGGTGACCAATCGAACAAATCTAAACTTATTTTAAAATTTTATGCTATTTCCGATATTTTTTTGCTTTCATTCAATAAAATTTAAGAAAATATAAAAATTATGGCGTTTGACTTTGCTTTGCTGCATTTTTTGTCTCACCCTGTATTTATAAATGTTTTCTTTACCTCATTTTGGAGAGTGTTAATAGTTCGGCCGAACTTAGCTTCTTTCTTTCTTCTTAAATTTATTTATTGATGTCAAGTAAAGTAATATTGGGCATTAGCGAAATGTAGGCACATATTTCGCCTAGTGAGTATGTCAAACTTCAAACTCGGGAGAGAAGTGAGATAACATTTTTGAAAATGCAATAAATTGGGTGTATCGCTAAATGGAGGAATGGATAAAATCATAGGCATAACTACTCTTCTGTGAAGATAATATATATAACCTAAATTATTGGCATTTCCAAAATACGTAAAATAGGCAAGTATCGAAGGCGTTATATATGGTGCTATTGGAAAAAGTAGACCTCTTTTGATATGTTTTTGGTTACATTCCTTTTACCAGAACAGTGTTGTGTAGGTAATAAAAACGCCAATGTATTTCATAAGATCTATTATATTTAAGCAAATATTACCAATGGTCAAAAGTTTCATGCCGCCAATTCAGTCGGCACTTGCCCTTCCAATTACACACATTTTATTTAGTTTTGGACACCTGATTATGTCCAATTGTTTATTACTCTTATCAGTTATATACCAACGGAACGAAATTCAATGTTAAATTCAAAAACAAAATAAATTCTTGTTTCTTTGTGGGACTTTCGTAAAACCTTTATCGTTAAACACAAAAACTGCCTCATGGGAGAGTGAATTTGTCGAAATTTCAAATTGATAAGATAGGGCGTATAATTAGTTTAAACATAATAAGTATGGATGGAGTCGATACACACTTGTACATGGTTTTATGAGACATATTCCATTTTAAATGTTAACGACTATTACCAGCTATAAAATAGTAGTGCAAATGTATTTGTGAATAAAATGTTACTATTGCATAGAAAATGGCCAGTAACATGAGCAAAATCAATAAATGATAAAAGTGATGCAATACAAAAATATTATCGAATGTTTGGTAAATAGGTTTGGCATTTTCGATTCCCTTACCTTTTCTGAAACCCAAGTTAACTGTTAATGAAAGATTGTTGAACTGCATGTCGACCGGGTCGCGTGATGGTAAATTTGAAAACCGTCCGGCATCCTTTTCCTCCAAAGTGTTGACTTTAGCCGTATGTTCATGCATATCGGTTTGAGAATTTGAGGTTGTTTTACTTTCTCGTCGACCGTCATTGCCATTTGCTGCCTTCAATGGCATAGTTGTAGAATTGTAGACTGGCGGCATTCCACCAACGATTTCTATACCAAGACCAACGCTAGCAGCCGACGTCGGAGCGGTATTGGCAAAGAATTGTTCCCTTGCCGAAATCATGTGTCAAAATTAAAACTACTATCTGGGTGAAGCGGTTGTTACAGCAGGTCTATACGTTGCAAATCAATCTGTAAGAATAAAATTAAAGGAGTATTAAAAAGCTTCACTACTTTATAACAAGCGAATCGTAATTGTATTTCATGCAAAATTGAATATTTTTCTATAAAATGGCTTCTTATATATGATGGAATCTGTGGCATACTAAATGAGTATAATGTCTCTGTTGTGTAGCACTTTTTACCAAAAACCATAATATTAGCGAAATATAATTTTTATTCTGATCGCGACAAGCAATCGGAAATTTTTAAATGTCTATTATAGGGGTATTTTAAAAATATGATACCAAAAATCTTAAATGTGGCGGGAGTATATATGAAGTCTGCCTTCCTGTTTGTAAAATATAGATCCAATATTGAATGTGTTAGTAAAAATCTTCAACTGGCTTTGAAAAATACGCCGTTTGTCGACTTAAGAAATTATGTTATTCTCATGGTAAAATTAAGAAGGTAAAGTCATTTCAAATAAGCACTTCCATCTTTGCATTTTCTGTAATTTACCTTGTCAAATTTCACTGCATAGAAGGCAGGTTCCCATCTCTAATTTGTGTATGTACAATGGATTTATGAATACACATTTTGACAATGAGATGTTGTCAAATGAATAATTTTGAAAAAAATTTAAACATATGATTGCATGACTTTACCTTCTTAATTCTATCATGGTAATTCTCTACAAAAGAAAATAACTAAACAAATATTCTTTTGTATAGCAGCATTGTACGTTGTACATATTTGTATATGCCATACTAATTAATGTTGTTCGAATTGGTTGGCATTGGTTGGCATTCACTTGTAAATAAATAATTACTGTTATCGCAAAGTATTGTGTAAAAATGTGCTTAATAAAATTGAACCTACGTTGTTGTAAATCAATGAAGAATTCTGTAACTTAAAGTATCATTTTCACCTCTTGTTCAATGGACGATACTTTTGCTAGCAATTCATTTGAATACGCTTAATTTTGCATATATTGGCTGCCTTCCGACTGCTTTGTTTAGTTTAATTGAGGGAAGAGATGCGAATCTAAATAAATAAAAAAATAAGAGGTTTTCCTCTTACTATCCAGATTTACTTTGTTAAAGATAAATGAGTGCAATTTGGTAATTAGGTGTTTTTCCCTTCCTTATTTTCGGTATTTCAAAGGTTTTAGTCCAATGCTGAGCAGGAAGATGTTCTAATGACAGAAAATTGTCTGTGCAGGCCCGCGTTTTGGTATTGCCCCCACATAATGGTACCGGTATTTTGATGATTTTAGCTACATTATTCACCGATTTTTTTTATTAAAGTTGCCTTTTCGTTCCAAATGGTGGAGGGCATTCAAGGTTCGGCTTGGCCGAACTTAAATTTTTTTTACTTGTTTTGAAAAAAAAAAAATAAAATTTTATTCCGCTGGAATACTAGATCTCAGCACATTTCGAAATATTTTTAGAAGTGTAAAATTATCCAAATTTACTTTGAAAATCGAGCCCGATTGGGCTCTAGAGCAGTTGGCAAATGACCCGTTGATCCATCGCAAAATTGTGTTCAGTGATGAGGCGCATTTTTAGCTTAATGGGTTTGTTAATAAGCAAAATTGCCGCATATGGAGTGAGATCAATCCACGAGAGACCCTACATACTCCATTACATCCAGAAAATTGCACCGTATGGGGCGGTTTTCACGCTGGTGGCATCATTGGACCTTATTTCTTTAAAAATGAGGCCGGAGCTCGCGTTACGGTCAATGGAGATCGTTACCGCAACATGATCATTTTTGTTTAAAAATATGGATGACATTGATCCGGAGGAGATGTGGTTTCAACAGGATGGCGCTACGTGCCATACGGCGAAATGAAAATTTTGCGATAAGTTGATTTCGAGAAGTGGACCTATCAATTGGCCTCCAAGGTCGTGCGATTTGACACCTCTCGATTATTCCCTGTGGGGCTACGTGAAGTCGCTGGTTTATGCTGATAAACCAGCAACATTTGACGCCTTGAGGCCAGCATTGTTCGTGTTATTCGTGACATACGGCCAGCAGTGCTCGAAAAAGTGGCCAAAAATTGGACGTCCAGAATGCACTTCGTCAAGAACAGCCGCGGTGCCCATATGCCCGAAATCATTGTCAAATGTTAATGTCACGTATTGATCTTTCGAATAAAAACCAATTTTGATTAAAATTTAATTTTTTGTGCTATTTTTTACATTTTCCAGTTTTATCGGGCTTAAAAGACACCCTGTAAAAGCGTGCTGATTTCGCAAATTTTGAACATTTATTAACCACGTCATTAACTGAAATTTGATTGCCAATATATTAATATGAAGATATGGAGCCCAATTATGCAGCTATTCAGTCTGAGGAAAGGAGACGAACAAAAAGAGTGCTAAAATCAAGACGCACACGTACTACTATGAGTTATTCTCAAAATTTAAATATGACAACCCATATCTTTTGATCAGACCTATGTTAATTCATTATTTGGGATACAGTCACTTTTGCCAGCCAATATTTTCGTAGTTTGAAAAATCTTTAACTTCAAATAATTCAAATATGCCCATGGCTTATAACTACTGATAATGGAAAAAAAATAACCATGGCAATATTCTGGAGGATCATCCTCATTATTAAGTTTATTGTTTGTTTTTAAATCTCCTATTTATGCTGTCATAGTGCCACAGTTCAGCTTAATCACCACATCCACCTACTACCACCACCTTTATTGTACCTCATCTTTTTCTTTCAATAAAAAATTGTTTGTATTCTTCTTTGCTATAACTGTGTGTGAAAAAAAGAAATTAAAGTAACAGCGAAAGAAAGAAACTGAAAAACCTGCTTAATGAATGATTTGTTTGTTTTTTTTTAACATAGCTATCGGGTTTGTTTCATAATAATTTGGTATTAACCATGCTTTTAGACAGACAAATTCCGTTTAAGAAGCATAATTTTATCAATAAATAACTCAAATATCAAATCCATTTTTGTGTTTCGATAGACATCATGCTTTACAAGTTATATGTTAAACTATTTATTTAGATCTTGTTTATAGTTATGCTTTGTATATCTATATATATAAAAGAAAGTTGTGTTAGTTACTACGCTTATAACTTAAGAACCGCTGGATTAATTTTAACGATTCACACAAATTCGGAGTTGTCTACTCTCCGAAAAGGATAATATCCAAAAAAATCGCGTAAAAATGTGATATATTAACATTTTCATTTTGACTTTTCAAATGTACAATAGTAATGTTTTATTTTGCATGATTTTTTTCCATTTTGACTTACTTTTTTCTAATGTACATTTGTAGTGTTTTTTTATATTTTATTTTTGAATTCGAATATTTATACCAATTTATTTAATTGACTTGATTTCTTGAGAACTGAAATTGATGGCGGGTTACATGGAAGTGTAGTAGCGAATTATGTGGTGGCGAAACGGAATAGATGATATCGAAATAATTTAACGCGGTCACACCAAAGTTAAAAGATAATTACTTTTTCTAAATCGCTGAAAAATCATGAAAAAGAGATCTCATTGCAAAAATCAAAAAAACATTTTCAATGGAATCGAATTCTAAAGTAATAGTACATTCTATTGACAAACTTTGTAAGGAAGGATCTTAAAACATTTGCTGTAAAAAATCAGCGAAAAAGTTGAAGACTTTCTCAATTTGTTATTCTTTTTTTTTTTGTCAATTTTTTTTTTGTGAACAAACTAAAGAATAATTTTTCACTAAAAAAATTGAATAAGTGCGAAATAGGATGTTAACTGACATCTACCTTTCAACTCCAGGGCCTACATCGTGGGTTAGCTGGAAGATGCGAACACGTTTAAACAAACAAAAATGACCGAAAAAGCTTAATGGGGCTCATTTCAAAGCGTGACAATGATCCGTCCAATGAGAGCTCAAAATGCAAAATTCTTTGGGAGAATAATAAGTAATATACCAATATTGAAATAAAAGGTGCAAAATAGTAGAGCGAATGCTACTTTTAGTAAGAAAAGGTTTTATAAGAATTTCTTCCCAAACATTCAAAATACCTAAAATCACTTTTGCAGGTCTTTATATCGATCATAACTCATGGATAAGGGAACAACCCGATTTCATATTTATATAACCATCTATGATTTAAGTCATTTTTGGGGTCTTGGCCGGCCACTTTTTTCATTTTTTGGCCCTTATTTGACATTTTTGTTTCTAAGGGGGTAGATAACCTCTTCGCATAAAATTTGAAATTTTCAGAGTAGGGCATATATTGGTATTGACCACATTCATCAATTGATTTGGCTAAAAAATTTTATTTATGCCACCCTGGGGTAGGGAACCATCATACAGATAATTGCCACATAGGAATTTATTTAAGTAAAGTCCCCACATTGGAGTATCCCCAAGTCCACTTTCACATCTAATGTGTGGTCAGAAAAGAAAATTTTGTATTCTATTGAATTTTTAACCCCCAAGAGAATATTGGTTGGGAACGTAGATTTGGGATGTGCATCCATATGAAATAAATTGTGGAAAGATGAACAAATTACAAATATAAGAAAGTAGCACGGGACCGAATATTTGTTTAATCATCATTGAATTATCCTATGATGAAAATATGGAATTTAAGGGGTCTCCAACTTACAATTTAAATGGCAAATAAAATTAATTCCCATCTTATCATTCTGCCCTCAATTATGAGGTGGATAAAACTATTTTTACTTATTTAAATCACGCGAAATGCTATGACATGCTATATTGTTCTGCTATATTTTTGATTTGGCCTCTATTTGTCATCTTGGATTATAAGGGGTAGAAGAAAGTTTTCAATGTAGGTCGATGTTTCGGAGTAGTGCCCATATAAAGAAGGTACCTCCTAATTTAACCACATTTCAAAGAATTTGGCTAATAATGCGTATTCGGGGGGTGAAAATCTTACACTAAAATTTCAACATATCTACAAATTTTAGAATTTTTATCCATGTTATAATACCCTCTCAAGTCCACCTTTTGGCGGACAAACAGACTGACATGGTTAGGGGGA